GAAATAATCTCCATGGCGTGTCCTACGTCTGTTCATCAGATCCGGTTCCAAAGATGTCCTGCGTAACCCGAGATTTTGTTCTTTCACACTTGTTGTCTCATTACCTAACGTCATCGATGGAAGCACCCAGTGTAAAGAGTACTGATGCTGGCCTTTCGCTGGTCGAGCGATTTGGTCTTCCCTGGAGTCCTGAATCAAGGGAGTTTTCAGATCTTCACCACGGTGTGGATCCGAGGAAGGTATATTTTCAGCAACGAATCCTCCTTTCGGTCTTCTTACTAGTTGATTCGGAGCGATACTAAAGCCGAAATCAAAAACCAATGTAGGGATGAAAAACTGACCGACTTCCATTGAACGATGTATGCAACGAAACTTACTATCTTAACTCTTTTATTTACTGCCTTTTTCTTCTTAATGGCAGGTTATGTTGCGAAATATAACTCGTATGAAATGCTGAGATATTTGCAAAACTCCGGACCACAGGTGTATGCAGTGGAGAACGAACACGCCCTGTTGTCCTTACCGGGGAGCAGCGCACTTCACCACTACACGATCCGGGTCCTTCGCCTTGCGCGTATCTCAGCTACTTCTATCGATCTTTTTTGCCATCAGCAATCACCCGTCAACGTGATCGATCTGGGGAGCCAATATCGGCATTGAACCTAGTTAAGCTGAGGCTTAGTTATAATCACAATCTTAACTCTTTTATTTACTGCCTTTTTCTTCTTAATGGCAGGTTATTTTGCGAAATATAACTTGTATGAAATGCTGAGATATTTGCAAAACTCCGGACCACAGGTGTATGCAGTGGAGAACGAACACGCGCTGTTGTCCTTACCGGGGAGCAGATTTCATACGAGTTATATTTCGAAACTTACTATCATTTCACATTATATTTAACTGTTGAAATTTTGAAAAAAGGGCAAACAACGAAGCAGTAATGACGGAATATGGCCACAAACAATGCGCTGGTTCGGTCCCACATCTGGCTCGCTAAGCCTCCCACCCCTACAGGATCGGAGCATAAGTATCGGATTCATCTGGGCTAAATCGATCCCTCCAATCGATGAAATATGTCTCCTGCCTGTGACGAATATTTGGAGACGCTCTAACACGGGACGGTTCGATGGAGAATCATTTCAACAAAATTTAACAGTATTCATGAAGAATACCAAAAATCGTCAAAACCAGCATCCGAACCCAAAAATCCGACGAATTTCGTAGATGATGGATGAGAGGAAACGAATAGACTACTAGAAGTGCTCATATCTGCATGGTATTAATAAGCTGCTTATATTTTTGCCCACAGAAATCTTCAAGGAATTGTTCCAAATAATTACGGAAGAAGGTCACATACTCTTTCTGAAGATATAGTCCTGTTAGAATAAGAACCAGGTTATGTACCACACTAGATGAACCACGATTTTTCCACTTCTCTGTCAATTTAAACTGTTATCGAACTCAATAATACTCACCTTAAAGCTGGGAAGTGGAGCGAAGCCACCTAAGATGTAAGTGAGGCGCTGCGCGGACTGGGACTGGGGACAGTCAACCGGTTGGAACGACTTGTCCACGCACATGCGTACGTCGCCAAGCATAGTTTGTCGTGTCTGGAATCTATTCTATTGCTCCTTTTCGTTCAACTGCTCGTTTTTTCATCAAATACGTTTTAGAAATTCTAAGGAAAGATAGATGCAATAACCACTTTTTCTGAAGACCCTTCTTTCAACTTTTCAAGATTGTTGGTAAAACAGTATTCGGCAGCCGAGGTATTCGATAAATATGTTAGATAAGGTACAGTTTCTCTTGTTTTTATCGAGAGAAAATAATTGCTTCGCCTCAGACTCATCTCATTCACGGAAGGGGCTGACCTTTTGAACTGCTTCTAAAAGGACGTACTCGAAATCGCATGCAATTACCTTTCTTAGGAAAATTATACATGTAACATATTTAAAACTGAAATTCGTGGGACCGAATCTCACTAATGTGGGCATTGATCAGTAAGCTAATGTTATCTTGACACGTCGAAACGAGGTTACCAGTACTAAATTTATTCGACAGTTTCCAATATTCCAATGGACATCGCTTTTTTCAGGACCCTGAGAGCAATAAGAGAGCAAAAATTAGTGCATCGAAAGTTATTTAACCAGGATTCGATGTTTTTTCTTGATCATTGGTTTTTTATCCTTCCTTTTTCGTTAAGTATTCTGACACAATATCGTCTTCGACTATTAAGCTAGCTTGAGGTTGATAAAAGCACAGTTTAGGACGTCGACATCCAAAGGACAACCCTTACTCATCTAATAGGTAAAATGATAGCAACATCACTAGTTTACCGATTTTATTGTTTTCACAATGCAGATAAATATGCAAATATACCACAGAAGGCAATTTTTCACAGCAGCCGTCCTGAAATCTGTGTCAATTCTTTACCGGAAACACTGGAACACATTTAATACAGCGAAAGAAAGATTTTCGAAAATCTTGCCTTTTTCTCGGTAAGACAGCTGATTTGTACCCGTGTTCCGTTCGTGAGTTCGTTCTTTAGCGCTTTGTGAATCTCCTGCAGTTCATAGGGCTCGCTTCTTGGCACGATATGTGCCCTTTTCAGAGCCGCTTCCACTGCATATCTGCTATCCAGTTCCATTGTCCTGAAAACACGCAGTGAACTTCTCACTGTTAGGATGTTGAAATCTTTAAGCAATCCATAAGTGGCGAAGTACTTCATTATCCTTATTTAACTAAGAACTTCTCAATGGTCTACTACTTTACTGTCTTCCAAATTGTTGAATGGAAAACAGTTTTCGCACCACAGTCGCTTAGCCGAGTAGTTCGTCATTTTCATCTAGAAACCTAGCTAAACTTATAAAATTCTGTCAACTGTTCACAGAACAGCCAAGCGTAACTTCAACTGGCGAAGGTTGGTAACTGCTCTTACCGACGAACGGAAGACGTCATAGATCGGTCATCTCAATACTTCTCTAGGAAAACCGATCACACGAGCCTAAGTACCACACATAATGAATGCACTCGTCTAGGACACTAGGGATATAACAGCCAGTAAAACGAAATCCCGAGATAAGCGAAGGTTTTTGATACCGGATCAAAATAATGCGATCGTATTTCAAAGTCGGAGAAGTTTTGTGCTTAGCATATAATACAAAATCTTCACGGCTGTTTCTTTTGTCACATATACTTTTCCGTGGCATGTTTTGTATGAGATCGAAAACTTTCCTTTTACAGATGTCATGGAAGACCCAACAAATGAAAGGTTATAACGTGGAGCTTATAATTCCAAAAACATTCCTTCTGACGAGTTTCTCCAACTGTTTGTGTATCAGTTATTGTCGTTCTTGCTGTCGCTGTTGTTGTTGTAGTTGCTGTCGTTGTTGTCGTTACTGTCGTTGTTGTTGTCGTTGTTGTTGATGTCGTGTGAGCGCAGAGGCGGGATCTGCGCGAGGAAATCGCGCGAAAACGCGTTTTAAGCGAGAAAAAAGCGAAAAACGATTGCCCACTCGATGAGGCGTGTTGTCCGTTCCGACGCTATAAAACGCCTCCGAACGCGATTTTGGCGCGGTTTTCACTATTTGCAGCCGACTGTCAGCCAGTCACACACAACTCAAAAGGCCCATACCGGATAGTGTGGCCACGGACGAGTTATCCTTAGGCGGACAAGTTATCCGCCAAGACTTCAAAAAACGCGATTTTCGCCACTCCAAAATTAATTCCAGCCAGCTGTCAACTGGGTAGTTACGCCTACATCCGCCGAATGAAATACCACCTCAACGGACGAGTTATCCCAACGTGGACGAGTTGTTCGCCATAACCCCAAAAAAGGCGATTTTCGTCGCTCCGACGTTATTTCCAACCGGCTACCACTACTACCGTGCTGTCGAATGTACCGCGAACTAACAAAATGCAAACATTTTTATGTAACCGAGAACTCACAATGTTTAACGTTTTGAATGTGTCGTTTTCTTGTTCAGCAGTCGCGAGGTTTTTAAACAGCATACATTTACTTCCATAAAAACACAATACAATACAACGCTAGCTGACATTTCGGCAGTATCGCCTTCTTCAGAGCCGCTTTTTCGTGACTTCCAATGAGGAAGTTTAGAACAGCTGGTTATAGTCGCATGTGGTTGACGACTCAACGTTTTGTTTTCCGCCTTCTATAATTTTCATGGCAGGTTACTAAGCGAAATACAACCACAACGTTGCTGAGATATTTCCAAAAGAGATACGTTGAGATACGGATGATTGCTGTGGCAAAAAGATCAATAGAAATAGCTGAGAGACAGGCGGAACGAAGGACCCGCATGGTGTGGTGGTGAACGCATTACTCCCCTGAAAGGACAATAGCGCGTTCGTTCCCCACCATAAACACTTGCGGTCCAGAGTTTTGCAAATATCTCAGCAACGTTGTGGTTGTATTTCGCTTAGTAACCGAGAACTGTTTTCATTCTCTACTTCTCGCTAAGTTCCGCTATAATACGGTGTCCAGTATTACGGTATTCGGTGTATCTTGAGGTATTGCTAGTGTGTTTCGATCCATTAAGATCTAAAGACGACGTGGTCGTCGTCGCTGTTGTTGTTGTTGACGCCGCTGTTTTCTTTGTTGTTACTTTCGTTGTTGCTGCTGTTGGCGTTATTGTTGTTGTTGTTGCCGTGGTTCAGTGGCAGGCGTTTCGGCGAGTTCGCCTTCTTCAGAGCCTGGACCTATTTTATGTAATGATAACATTATAATATGGTGAAATATATTCATTAATTTCTTTCTTCACCACTGAAATTGTTTGAACTCCGTTATCATTGCTTTCATTTGTTTCTAAAGTGACGACTGCGTGTTGAAAGATTAATGCCGAGTTATTCCGCAAATTCCACAGCATTTTTCACATTGCCAGCCTTGACAACGCTCCTCAGATGGTCGTTGTTAATTCCCGATTTGCGGCTTTGACCTTTCGTTATGAACACTGCATTTCTAGGAAGAAACTCATGCCATCTCACATTTGCAGCTCGAAAACGTTTCCGTAGCCATATTTCTTAGCTATAATGGATCGCATGTTTCCAATTTTGAACTCATGATTCAAAGCGATACGAACTTTAAGGTTGAAGAACCACGCTTCCAACCCGCCTAAAATTACCGCTAATTATGTGTATAAACACAAAACCAGGGAGGGACCATTTTTATAAATACCATATAACAATAACGTAACCAAGAAATATTTATCGCAAAATCTACTAACGATGAGAGCAGTGGCTGTTACGCCTTGCAATAAATCAAAGGACTCCTGCGAATATCAGCTCGGCCACCACTCAGGCCATTCATGGGCTAAATAAAATCCTCAATTTGCAGTAGAACCCGTACACCAATCCAACAACGCATGGATGAAGGACACAAGGTAACGAAAAAAATGAAAGAAGTACTAGGACCCGCATTATGTGTTCTGACCATTATGTAAATAAAATAAGATGAATAGTCCGACTGTAGAGTTCATAAGAAAAGAACACAATATTTTTGCACTTAGTGCAATTGAAAACCATACACCATAACTCGCGTGTGGGAAAGGGAGTGTGTGGCGCAGTGGTCGGAGGCGCCCTGAAACACACACATAGAATCGGTCTCCGCACCCATGGTCCACCAAGCCCACCATCCCTCCCGGGTCGGCAAATTGGTAGCAGACCAGTCCGGGATGATGGCAGCCCTAGGTCGATACTTCGGCAGGCAACCACGAGTCATTGTAAAAGCAAGATATGCATTCAATCACCTCCAAACGATGCTTAGTGAAGTCTAATGCATGGCACACCACTCAGGGATTGATCAATGCCGAGAGCTTTATCCCTTATGTTTTTTACACCATGACTCACATTTCTTATTAACATGACTGGTTGTGCTTAGACTTACACATTGAAGTATAACAGCTCTGAGGATAAATTTCGAAGATTTTGAGAACACGTTCCGTGCTTCTCCCACTCATGTTTCCACAGAGATCGGGCACTTTTAGTTGGATAGAGGTTCGGCCACGCTTTCCTGAACAACTAATATTCCCATGTTCCTTAAGAGTGATATGGAATTGAAGTTATTATTTTAATGTTTAGTTCAGTGATACAGTTTAGGAAGATATGTTTAACCCTACATGCTCCATTTCATTAGTCGCCTACATTCTACTCGCCTTCAGGCTTTACCCGAACTTATTTATCTGAATTATTTTTATGCAGATTTATTCTTCTGCATACGAAAATCACAGAGTAAATCAAACCTTCTTTGGTATAAATACTATTTAAAACTTATTGTATTTAATGAAAATAAGATAAAAACTCCCATTACTTTGCCGCATAGGATAATCCTCTTCGTAAAATACTTGATAATTGATACTTGAACGGCCCGCCCTCACTGGTTGTGCGGGCCCCAGCATAACCACCATTTTTCGGAAATTTGCTGGTTAAGCCATTGTGGTTTCCAGGAATCCCGAGGCCAGCCTGGTCAAAGTCTGCCACAGGTCTTCGCCACCACGGACAGTGCCCTTGTGGATCAGAGGGACATTTGCCCCCATGCGACTTTGATACCAGGACGGTGACGGATCCTGATATTGGTATTGGCATTGGTTTACTCTTAGCTAGGCTTCCTGATGGAAATGGCGGACTCCTCAGTTTGGGAGACCCTGCCGGAGAGACGAATCCCTCTCTGTAAATCGCAGTCCGACACCCAGGAACACCTCCCAGATATGATGAGGCAGTAAACCGTTGGTAGGCTTCAATAAATAGCTAGTAATTAAAAAGTAACTTATCTCTTGAATGTTGAAGCGGAAAATTTTTCGTGCTGTTTTATACGCTTCTGCCTATCTTCCAGTTGCCAAGAGCTATTGTATAGTTGGGTGGGCTATTAACAGTTTGCTGATGTTGCAACAATTTCACACTTGCTATCGTTGATGTCGACTTTTCTTTCTGCGGAGCCACTTTTTCTAGTTCAATTTTAAAATGTAAGACCACCTTCAACGAGTTCAAGTGGGATAAGCAAGGCATCCGAAGAACCGGAAGTGCATCGGAACGTTTACCACTTTGAAATAATCCTTTCACTAACGACCTCAGATGAGTCCATCAACAACACGGTAACTTAATGATTGATACCGAACTGAATGTCTTAGAAAATCAGACTAAAAATAGTACGATAAGCGTCGCTCGATGGGCTCTATCAGCTTGCCGTCAAATTTCTTCGGTACACCGTCGCAGAACTGTGGATAACTGCCATTCTTATAGTTTGGCCATAAACCATGAATGGACCAATCGGGACTTCCATCTGGGATTTCGCATGAATCTGGCACTAAAATATGTCAGCTAAATAAAACTTTTAGTTGGGCAGAAATGGCTGTTAGAAATATATTTGAAAGGTTTGTGATGAAATGTCTCACCTTTAGGTATTTCAAACCCAACAAAGAAAAAAACTGAAGAGCTTCAGCGTGACAAATTGTAGATGTGGGATCACATTAGAGAGAGGGAAACCCCAGAAAAAAGGTGATGTAAATGGTCGTTTACATTTTCACTGTTCAGTACTGAAAGTATCCCCACAAACGGTTTTTCAGCTGATGTTAAGTATATTGACAGAACATCTTCTCGAAACTGAAAACTAATAAAAAACCCCAGAAATGCGAAAGTGCGGGCTCTAGTAAAATTTCCATTGCTTTGGAGCTTTTCTGGTTTAGACATTGTGGTTCCCTGGATTCCTGAGGTCAGCCAGACCAGTATGCCCCAGATCGTCACCACCACACGCAGTCACCGCCCATGTGGATCAGAGGGAAATTCGCCACCACGCGACTAATATGGTACCAAGACGGTGACAGATCCTGGCATCCGTTGATGGATGCAGTAAATAGGTTCGTGATCGATAAGGAACATCACCGCTGTCACAAAGGAGGCGATAGTTTAGGTAAAGAATGAGTCACAGTGAGCGAAAGAACAATCACCTGATTCATCATCAGCACGACACACAGCGGGCGCATGGATCCTCGTCAACATCAAATAGTCGAAGTCCGAGCCGATTCTCGGCCACACTGTAGTTAAACGATTTATGTTCTGATATTCGAGGCCAATTTCTCCGAATATATTGACAAATATTCTGCGCCTTCGAGAAATTCGAATTCAAAGAAAACGGAGCATCTGCAATCATAACTCACTTTACCAAGGAAAATCCTTTCCATGGTGGAAGGAGAACTTAGCGATAGAGATGTTGATTAATAATGCGAGTAAGGACGTGGTTCACTAACGCCTCAAGTCTCTTATCATACTGGAGGTCAGTAAACTTGGGCCAGATTTGTCTAGGAAGAGTCCCCTCGGATCAACAGGAGCGGGAGACTACTTGTGATTGTGATGATGCTTTGAGCACACCCCATCACGGCTATCCCAGTATTCCAAAAAAAACCTACAATCTTTGGACCAGTACTCAAAGGCATTCAAGAAACCACATAAATGCAAAGACCTTCGCATGTGATGAATGCGAAACGACGAGTCGAAAACAGCAAATTGTATGTTGGGTCGTTCAAAAAAAAACTTTCTACAAACGAGGATCACCCATACTTGAGGGCCAAATAGTGAATGCGTAGTTAATACGTTAATGTTATCTCGAAGTGTAGGGAATCCCCCGATCCCAATATCTAATATGCAGCGAGTGGTTCAGAAAACCATGCAAACTATGCCAACCTATTTTTAGCAACCCATGGGTTTCTATGAAATGAAAGGTGACCAGTAAATTATTTGCAAAACTACTATGCACGCCTTTAGATGATGGATAAAGGTAAAACTTGGTGCAAAAAAGACGCTGTAAAAAGATGTTTCAAGGGGTAGGCAAGTCCATGAGACGAATTCCCTGTCCCTGCAATGACGGGTTGGCTAATATTTCTTGTATGCGAATAGAACTTTATTCGTACATGGTCTATTCACGGTGTGCCGTATGTATACGTAGATTCTATTCATTATATTGATTCGACCAACAGTCTGCAATTAAATGATCAAAGAGCATAAGGAGCAAGCATCGTAATCAACATCAGTACTTCTTGTTTATTCTGGAATAGCCGATTACGCTACTTATAGCACACCTAATATCGATAAAAAATGTTACGAGCTACCTTTGGTCACCATCTTAATGAAAATAGTAAGAATCCTTTTAAAAAAACCTTATAACCCTAAAGCCGCAGAAGCCATTTTACAGTAGCGTCGGGTAGCGTACGTACGCAGAGGCCGCTGAAACCTCAGCACCGCTAAAGGCTGCGAAATTCCAAAGCGGTTGTAGACACGGAGAATTGGATCGGTGGATTTTGAGGTATTGCATGCGTGTTTCGATCCATTAAGGTCTAAACGCTGCTGATTCTGATACGCCAAGACCCGATTTATTATATTCTGAACAATTTAGACCTTAATGGATCCCAGAACTATTTTTATAGTCTCTAGAAATGCCGAAATCGTTCAGTGAAGATGAAACAAGATCAACGTCGACGATTTCAACTAAATTATTTGTTCCTGAAGAATTTCACATTATAATTGAATGAGGTAGATGGGAAGAAATCAATCTCTTCACTATGACTCCTCAATCGACGTCGGTGCCATGCCAAAACACTACAAGTCACTTTCCCATATTAAAGAAATCTTTTCATGGAGTAGATGGGAAGTTGCAATATTCGAAATACCGAGTTCCAAAACTATCGTAGAATGGCGTCATTATTAACCGATAACCATACAGAAAGTTGTAGAAATCTTTATCATGGCAAACGCTTCCTACCGCTTGCCATAATCAGAACCACGATGATTTCATTCAAGTATCCATAGTATTCTCACGGATCTCCTTCATATTAGGGATCTCGAGCCGGTAAGTCGCGAGGCTACGTGGCGCGTCCTCAGGTGGCGGATAGGGGTTAATTGTGCACCAAAAGCGACCTTTGCTTCCCTGAGACGCGGGTGCATCCAGGGGATAGATGTCCTGTTTCTGCTAAGCTGATTTGGCACACACTTTCCCTATTTGCAAAGCGTATTCATGCATGCGTGTGTGGGTGCGTTCTTGCTTATGTGGATTGTATTCTACGAGTCAATTCGGCCGAAAGCCTGCAATCAAGTGATTGGGAAGTATATGGGAGGCGGTTAGGAGCCTCCATGTCCACTCTGGGAGAGCCTGGCAAGCTACCCGTGAGTATACCTAGCTCCTACATTCAGAGCCCAGTAAGCTATACGTGGGCATCAAAAATGCTAAACACAGTGAAAAAAACGGGCCTCATTCCGCTGACCTCGAAACAGCCTCCAATTTCGCAGCGTTGGGTAGGACGAGTACGGAGAGGCCGCTAAAATCTCAGGGCTGATGGAAGCTGCCTGGATTTAAAAGAACTACGGTGCCGATCTTTACCTAAAATGCACGCACACTTGCATCCAAGTCCTGGATAGAAGACTTGTTCATGCAAGCAAGAAGGATAAAGCGCGAGGTCATCGGCCTGGCCGAGACGAGAAGACGCCACGCCTTCAACGCCGTCTATGACACCGATGAAGAACTGTTCCTCGGAACATGCGACTGTAGAGGAATCGGCGGCGTCGGCGTTCTCGTCAACACGAGCTTGTCCAGCAACATCGATTCATTCGAACAACTTACAACCTGAATCGGACGTTTACGATTAAGAAGATGTGAATCAATTCCGGCTTTGACAATGTTCGTCGTTTACGCGCCGACATCAAACTATGACGAAGAAGAAGTAAAAGCGTTTCATATGGACTTGGAGAAGTTCTACAGAAGACCATACATTCGCCAAGGTCGTCATCATTGGAGATTTCAACGCCAAGATTGGACCAAGAAGAACGTCTGAAGAACGTCACATTGGGACCCACGGATTAGAATGGAACGAACAGGGTGAGCGGCTGTCTGAGTTTATCATGGCGACCAAAACAATCCATGGTAACTCACAATTCCAAAAACCACACCCTCGGCGCTGGACGTGGGAGTCTCCCAGTGGAGAGTACCATAACGTAATAGACCACATCATAGCAAATAGAAGGTTTTGCCTAACCAATGTCGCAGTTGTCCCAAAATTCCACACGGGATCAGGCCATCGTCTCCGTGCAAGATTCTATTTCTCGCGAAAAGGAGGAAAAGCCGCTAAATTCCAAAACCGAAGTCGCAGAACCAACGCAAACTAGGACTTATTCAATTCATTAATCGGCTGTTGGGAAGATGCCATTGTCGATAAGATCAACGAAGAATACGATCGGCTCATTCAACATCTTCATGTTAACGGTATGAAAGCTGAGAGCTCGAAAGTCACCATGAGACGTCTGTATCCAGAAACACTCGGGCTGATACGCCAGCGTGGAATCGCACGAGCTGCATGCAACTGCGAACTAACGTCCGAACTTGCAAAACGACGCAGAGCGGCCATAAAAGAAGATCTTAAAGAGAGAAGAGCAGCAGTGATGGTCGAAACTGCAGCGGCTGGGAAAAGCATTCGCAAAGGCCATCGAAGCTTCGCCAATTACAAGCTCAAATTGATTGCACACCAGCGCCCAGACAGAACAGTTCCAGCGTCCAGAAAGGCAATGGAGAAAACCATTCACGATTAATTCCCAAGACCGACTTTCTGTTAACCTCGGCATTGATTGATAATTCGATGTTTTTCTTCAATAAGCAGGCACGAGGTTGTTATCATAGAATTTTTAGGATACAGTAGCTGACGTTTCGGCGGTTTGGCCTTCTTCAGAGCCTAGAAAGGTCAAATTGAGATGTGATCTACTCAGCCAAACACTTTCATAACCCTAGCAGATCAAACTTAGCAAAGAAATTTACATTCGCTTAAGAAACAGCTTCATTTAAACACCTACCGTTTATTTTCTTCGTATTTTTGTTGAGCAAACGCGAGGTGTTATTATTCTTTGTTCACGATTAAGCTGACATTTCGGCGGATTTCGCCTTCCTCAGAGCCGATTCCCATGAGGTTTCCACTAAGTATGTCACATAGAGACCAACCGCACAGAAATCACATGGAAGAATACTTCTTATACTTCTATACTTCTATACTATACTTACTTCTTACTTACTATACTATATACTTCTATACTTCTAAGAATACTTCTTCCATGTGATTTCTGTGCGGTTGGTCTCTATGTGACATACTTAGTGGAAACCTCATGGGAATCGGCTCTGAGGAAGGCGAAATCCGCCGAAATGTCAGCTTAATCGTGAACAAAGAATAATAACAACTCGCGTTTGCCCAACAAAAATACGAAGAAAATTACTTGATCAATGCCGAGGTTAATAGAAAGTCGGTCGTGGCAGTTACCTACCGTTTATTTGTTGTAAGTATTTAAGTTAGTTGATGGATGGCAGCCGCACTGAGTAATACATGGACGATAATTGTGTCTGTGTCAGGTCACTGGATTAGCCTGAGGTATGGCGCCAGCTCACGCGTGATGACAAGACACTCTCCTTACGGTTCACTTTTGAATTTTTGGAATTGATCTAAAACGCTTCAAGAGTTTTACGCGCTGATGTTTTCGATTCGTGTGTGAGGATGGTGACTTTTACTTCAAAATCTTCTCCGTTGTGTTCCTGAATCCTACGCCCGCTTAGTGGAGTGTTTGGTTTTAATTTAGATTTACCAACTAGGTGTTCTTTTATGCGGACGCAGAGCGGTCTACCCGTTTCGCCAACGTATTCGTCCCCGCACGTTTTAGAAGAGATCAGATAGACTGTGCCCAGCTATTTCTATCGATCTTCCTGCCACAGCAAACACCCGTCAGCGGGGTTGATCTGGGGAACGCAAATCGGGAAAGAGCCCAGCTGAGCTATGGTTGTAGTTGAAATCACAATGTTTAACGTTTTGTTAGCTGAGAGACAGGCGAAACGAAGGACCCGCATGGTGTGGTGGTGAACGCGTTACTCCCCTGAAAGGACAATAGCGCGTTCGTTCCCCACCATAGACACCTGCGGTCCAGAGTTTTGCAAATATCTCAACAACGTTGTGGTTGTATTTGGTTTTAATTTAGATTTACCGACTAGGTGTTCTTTTATGCGGACTTTTCGCCAACGTGTTCGTCCCCGCACGATTAACAAGAGATCAGGTAGACTGTACTCGAACTCATGCGATCACCTTCTCTACCGTTAAGGCAAGTTGGGCAGTTTTTCGTTGTACATAGACGGTCATATAGGCGGCTGTGAACTACCTGGCGTCTTAGAGTGTCCGGTGGTATTTCTATCTCTTACGGAATTCTGTAAGCCGGCCCTTATTTAGCAATGCTTTATAGTTGCACTTATTTCGTTTGAAAAGAACGAAGCCTTGTTTTCGCTAGAATTATCGCTCTGGTGCGTGGCTTTTCCTCTATGACCATGCCGAGAAGCTACAGTTTCGTAACCATTTGAAATGGCTATTTGCCGCGCGAGTTTCGAGAATTCTTCCCTCTGATCTCTACCTGTGCACACGCTGGAGGCGGTTCGAAACATATTTCTTACAAGCGCATTTTTAGTGTGTGAGTGATGAGAGGAGAGGTAATGAACCATTATATTCTTACTGCTTGGCTTTCGATACCATTTTGTATTGCAGCCGTTTTCGGATAGGTTAATTTGAACGTTTAGAAATGGAAGCCAGTTTCCTTTCGGTTTCTCACGGGTGAATTTTATGTACTCTGACTGCTCGTTCGATACCTCAAAGCATTTATCCATCTCCTCTTGTGTGGAGCAGATGACAAAGCAATCATCTATATACCTACAGTAGAGTAATGGCCTGAGATCGATTACTGGTGCTTCCACTTTAAACATAAAGGCAACGGCAAGGGTTGGTGCCCGTAGCTGTCCTATTGCCAACCCTCTAATTTGCGAATAATATTTCCCTAACCATTTGAACATCAAGCAGTTTAAACAGAGCTTTAGGAAGACCATAAGCTGCTGAATCGAAGAGCCATACATGTTAATTGCTCCTTTGTGTTGCTCAAGAAGCAGCGGATGGCTTGCATTACGAAGTCGTTCGACACGTTATTGTAAAGGGCGGTAACGTCGAACGACTCCATAACGTACTCGTTTTGGGATATGCGTTAGCAGACGATCTAAGAACATTTGAGTGTTAGCGAGATGGGCTGGTATGTGCCTAAGCAACTGGTTGAGAACTAGATTTATAAAGCAAGCAATTCTACCCATAGGCCTGCCTACACAACTGATGATGGGTATAACTTTACAGGTGGAGGGGTCGGTAGACGTCAGATCATCAGCTGATATTAACTTATGGGTCTTGATAAGTAAGTATAAGACGGGACATGTCGGCACTTCGATCTTAAGACGCGAAATGTCTGCTGGTTTCAAACCTCCTGCGCTTGCCATTTTGACCCACTCGTTGTTCAGTTTTCGATTCTAACTTCTGAATTCCTTCTCAACAGATGCGCGATAAAGAGTTTTATCTGTGTCTCCAGAAAGACTCGAGCTGAGACGCCAGCGTGGAATCGCACGAGCTGTAAGCAACCGTGAACTAACGTCCTAACTTGCGAAACAAGGCAGACAGGGGATAAAAGAAGATTTTAAAGACAGAAGAGCAGCAGTAATGATCGAAGCTGCAGAGACTGGGAAAAGCATTCGAAACGCCCACCGAAGCTTCGCCAATTCCAAGACCAAGATGATTGCACTCCGACGCCCAGACGGAACAGTTACAGCGTCCAGAAAGGCAATGGAGAAAATCATTCACTAGTACTACTCAGATCTCTTCGATAGCCGCGTACACCTTTAGTCATATGAAATAAAGTAGGATGGATATGTTGTACCACCGGTTCTCCCTTCCGGAATCCGAAATGCCATTTCGTCGGTGAAAGATCGAACAGCACCAGGTCCGGAGAGGACAATATCAGAACACCTGAAGAACCTTCCACCAGTCCTCGCAAACACACCAGCTCGGCTCTTCACGCGTTACCTGTCTGAATGCGAGGTCCCTACTAATTAGAAGACCAGCAAAACCGTGTTATTATTCAAGAAGAGTGATCTGCACGATATCGGCAACTATCGCCCAATCTGCTTGCTGTCTGTCGTCTACAAACTTTTCACTCGAGCCATCCTAAACAGGACTGAGAGAACACTGGACGAAGGACAGCCATATGAGCATATGAGTAAGCCTGGTTCCGAAAAGGATTTAGTACGATGGACCACATCCACACCGTAACAAGACTCATTGAAGTACCGCAGGAGTACAAAATACTGCTCGCTCACTTTCGTCGATTTGCAGAAGGCCTTTGATTAAATCGAGATAAAAGCAGTCATGGAAGCCTTTGATGGTCAAGGAGTCCCTACTCAGTACATAAAGATTCTTCGTGAACTGTACAAGAATTTCACAACGAAGATATCACCATTCTACAACGATATTGTCATTGATGTCGAAAGAGGAGTTAGGCAAGCGCGTCACCATGTCACCAAAATTCTTTACCGCCGCTCTCCAGAACGTCATGCGGACATTGGAATGGTATGGGTAGTGAATATGGGAGTGAAAATCGATGGTCGGCAGTTACATCATCTTCGCCTTGCTGATGACGTCGTCCTTATAACACTAAACATTAGACAAGCAGAGTGCATGCTCGTCGACCTTGATAGAGCATGTGGAAGAATTGGTCTTCAGCTAAATCTCACAAAAACGATGTTTATGAGGAGCGGATTGGTTTCGTATGCTCCATTCACGCTCAGCGGAACGAACATCTCCGAATGCTCCAACTAGCTCTACCTAGGTAGGGAAGTCAATATGTTGAACGATTTAGCTCCAGAGTTGAGCAGAAGGAAACGAGCGGCTTGGGGAGCTCTCAAGAGCATCGAAGATAGAGTAAAGAGGACAAAGAACATCCGACTCCGTGTCCACCTTTTCGGTCCTTCCTGCCATCGTGTGTGTCAGAAACCTGGTCGATGCGTAAGCAGGATGAAAGATCACTTAGCGTGAACGCGCAGTCGAAAGGGCGATGCTTTAAGGGTTCCGTTTCACACAAGTGAGGGAAGGGATTCGAAGCTTCGACCTGCGTCAACAGCCAAAAATTAAAAGTGCAATTCTGTACGCCAGACAGTCGAAGATAAGATGGGGTGGATACTCAATGCGTATGAGTGACAACCAGTGGACAAGAGCCGTTGGTGGCTGGATTTCTCAAAATGTTAAACGCACTGCAGGAAGACCACCGACTCGATAGTCAGAGTTCTTCACGAAAAGCCTAAACAGATGATATGATGCTCGAGGTCTCCCTTGAGCGAGCAGAACTTACTGCCCTGCTCTTAAACGTGACAGGTAAAAATGGAAGATTTACTGGCGCGCGTTCGAGTCACTCGACGATCAACGGGACTACAGGAGATACAGGTGATATTCTTATGAACTGGTCTTGTTGAGTTTATATGAGGTTGATATAAGTTGTTGTTGTTGTTCTTGTTGTTGGTAGATGGCTGACGTTTCGGCGATTTCGCCTTCCTTAGAGCCATACTGTTACGAGTGGGACTCCATCGTCCAAGCGAAAGCGACGCAATTAGCCCAATATTCCATAAAGGATAAAACAAGGTATCACAGTTCTACAACCATATTGACATTGAGACCAAAAGAGGAGTTAGGCAAGACAATACCATCTCGCCAAAATTATTTACCGTCACACTCCAGAATGTCATGTGAACAGTGGAATGGGATAATATGGAAGTGAAAATCGATGATCGGCAGTTACACCATCTTCGCCTTGCTGATGACATCGTCCTTATAAAACCAAATATTAGCCAAGCAGAACGTATGCTTGACGACTTTGATAAAGCTTGTGGAAAGATTGGTCTTCGACTAAACCTCACAAAAACGATGTTCATGAGAAACGGATTCGTTTCGTATCTCCCATTCACGCTCAACGAATGAATATCTCCGAATGCTCCAGTTATATCTATTTGGGTCGAGAAATCAATATGATGAACGACCTAGCTCTAGAGCTGAGCGAAGGAAACGACCAGCTTGGGAAGCCTTCAAGAGCATCGAGGATGTAGTGAAGAAAACAAAGAACACCCGACTCCGTACCCACCTTTTCGACTCGACGGCACTTCTTGCGTTAACGTATGCGTCAAAAACTTGGTCGCTGCGTGAACAGGATGAAAAATCACCCAGCGTTATCATACGCGCAGTCGAAAAGATGATGCTAGGAGTATCCCGTTTAACACAAGCAAGGAATGGGATCCGAAGCTCCACCCTGCGTCATCGATCAAAAATCAAAGATGCCGTTCTGTACGCCAAGCAGTCGAGGATAAGGTGGGCCGGACACGTAATGCGTATGAATGACAACCGGTGGACAAGAGCCGTTAGTGACTGGATTCCTCGAAATGTCAAGTGTACTGCAGAAAAACCACCGATCCGATGGCCAGAGTTCTTCACGAAGAGCCCAGAAGAAAGATATGTTGCTCGACGAGACCGTAGAGCGAGCAGAACCCACTGGACTACTCTTGCACGCAACAGGGAAAAATGGAAGATTTATTGGCACCCGCTCGAGTCACTCGACGATCAACGGGACTACAGGTAATATAAAAGATCCATAGCAACTGCTTCTTCTTATGAAGTGGGTTTTTGTAGTCGTTAAATCCAGTGGAATCGACTAGAGTGGTTCATCACACAAATGCACAATTATACAGTGTCACCAAGCATTCCCTTCACACAGGATTCGTTTGCTGCACTGAAAAGACGTGACGAGCGGCAGTTCTTCAGGATAGAAGGTCTTTGGTTGATTACCAACCAAAATAGCTTGTTGTCATGTTCAAAATCCATCCTTCACTTGACACTTGAGCGGCCGTCCTCACTGATTGTGCGGACCCCACCATAATCACCATTTATCGGAGATTTCCTGGTTAAGCCATTGTAGTTCCCTGGAATCCCGAGGTCAGCCTGGCCAAAGTCGGCCGCAGGTCTGCACCAACACGGGAAGTCGCAGCCCTTGTGGATCAGAGGGAGATTTTCCACCATGCGACTTTGATACCAGAACGGTGGCGGAGCTTGGATTGCTTTACTCTTAGCTAGGCTTCCTGATGGAAACGCCGGACTCCTCAGCTTGGGAAACCCTGCCGAAGGGACGAATCCCCCACTGTACATCGCAGACCGACACTCAGGAACAGCTCCCAGCCACGATGAGGCGGTAAGCCATTGGGAGGTATCCATTCTTCAGTAAACAAAATAATAATGGCTGGCATATAGTAAAGCAATGCTTTCCTTACCACCTTTCGTTTAATCTCAGAATGGGTAGCAATTGGTTATCGAGAATCTAATACGAAGTTGTTATAAAATAAAAATAGAGTTTTTACTTCTCTGGACGGTTTTTCGAAGGCGATATCATCGATAACACCAATGATTCATGTGCTGATCCAGCACCTTCGTTACAGTACTAAATGGAAGAAAGTTTGAAGCTGTAGAGTGTCAGGAACCATAGGTAACTACCAACTGACAACAATCTAAGCTTATAAAACTGCTTATTGAAGCCAGTAAAGAAAGAATAGCAATTACAATACAAGATCTTAGCAGACTCTTCAGTTACAATTCGCACCCTATCTCCTTCAACAGTCACTTCCACATACTTAAATATATGTGACTAGATGACTATATTACTCTAGAGGTTCTCAATTACGAGGTCTAATAAGCGACGTTGGTAATTAGTCGTACAATGAGTGATCCCGACAGAAACACAAACACCCGACGAACTTAGGTCCTCATCAACAAATCAACTTCGATTTTCGTACATTATTTGCGCCCAACCATACTGAACCATGGTTCTTCCGGCCTTTAGATAGATCTCAGAACTGTGAACACCACGTAAGCAGAATGTCAGTGTGATCAGTGTTTTTGAAGCTGATATCGAGAACGTACACGGTGCTTGGAGCATCTCGCTACAGGCGACAGTGGGTAACTAATTTGTTCTCAATGAAAGTCCTGGTTCCACTCCTATACTCGCAAATTAATTCCAAACATTCACAAATTTAGTGTTAAAAAAATTAGTTATTGCTGATCAGTGCTCTTAGACAGAATTTTGAAGTAATTTTAGAACCTTCACCATTCGTTGAGATCGCATCCGTCAATTCAACGTCAAACCACCAGATATTTCCATGGACCGAAGCTATTGCCATTGAAAGCAATAACATTTTGCGACTGACCACTGTCTTATATGAATCCTATAAAGCATTCAGTTTACAAAGAAACAATAAGAAGCAACTCCCACATCCGACTTTCTATTAACCTCGGCATTGACTGAGTAGTTCTTTCTACTTCTGTTCAACAAACACGAGGTGTTAATTTATTTCTTTATTCATGTAGAAGCCGACGTTTCGGCGGATGTCGCCTTCCTCAGAGCCTGGAAAGGCAAAGTTGACAGCAATCTATTCGGCCAAACACCTTCATAAGCAAAAAGAGAAAACGCTAAACCAAGATTTCAATCACTTTTAACACATCTCTGTCCAGTTTCACGCGTGTTAATGAGACATTATTCACTGCGATTCATTTTCGGACCTGGATTTAATCCAGAACGCCTCGAGAGTTTTGCGCGCTTGTGCTCCTAATTCCTGTGCGAGGATCGTGACACGCACTTCAAAGTCCTCCCCGTTATGTCTCTGGATCCTATGCGTGCCTAGCGGGATATTTGGTTTACGTCTGCCGGCTGGGTGTTCTTTTAAGCGGACACAGAAGGTTCTACCCGTTTCGCCAATGTATTCGTCTCCGTACACCTTACAGGAGACCAGATACACTATACCCGAGCCCATGCAATCATCGTCTTTACTATTGGGGCAAAATATGCAATTTTGCGTTGTACATAGACGGTCATCTAGGCTGTTACGAAGTAGCTGGCGCGTAAGAGCACTCGGTGGCATTTCAACTACGTTTACTGAAACCTCTAGACCCGCCCACCTTAAGCAGCGTTTTATAGCTACACTTACATAATTTAAGATGAATGGTAGGATAAACTGGACCTTTTATCGCTAGAGTTGTCATTTGGGGTCTAGGATTTCCCCGACACCTATCTAAAGCTACAGTTTCGTAGCCATTCGAATGAGCTATTTGCCGTGCCAAGTTCAGGAACTCTTCTTTCTGCACTCTTCCCATGCACACTGGTTGCTGTTCGAAACATGTTTAATACAAGCTGCCTTTTTGTGTGTGAAGAGTGAGCGGAGAGGCAACGAACCAGCATATTTTTGCTACTTGACTTTCGGTGCCATTTAGTAATGTAGCCGCTTTCTGATAGGTTGATTTGCACGTTCAGAAATAGAAGCCAGTTTTCCTTCAGTTTCTCTCGGGTGAACTTAATATACTCTGACTGTTCGTTCAATAACTCAAAGCATTTGTCCATCTCCTCTTGTGTGGAGCAGATGACAAAACAATCATCTATATACCTACAGCAGAGTAGCGGCCTGAGATCAATCACCGGTGCTTCCACCTTAGACATAAATGCTATGGCAAGGCTTGGAGCCAGTCGTTGTCCCATTGCCAACCCTCTCATTTGAGCGTAGTACTTTCCGGCCCATCTGAAGATTGAGCAGCTCAAGCATTCTTTTAAGAGTACCATCAACTGCTCTATCTTGAAGCCATACATGTTTATTTCTCCTTCGTCTTGTATAAGGAGTTCGAATATGGCTTATATTGCGAAGTCATTCGACACGTTTGTATAAAGGGCGGTAACATCGAAGGACTCCATCACGTACGCGCTGCTGGGCTGCGCAGTACGTAGACGATCCAGAAATATCTGGGTATTCGTAAGATGGGCTGGAATGTGTTTCAACAACTGGTTAAATATCAGGGTTAAAAACAATGTTGTCCTATCCGTTGGCCCGTCCACGCAGCTAATGATAGGTCTAACCTTAAATAGTGATGGATCGGTAGACGCAAGATCATCGCTGGATACTAACTTATGAGTTTTTATAAGCAAGTACAAGACGAGACATGTTGGTAAGTCAATTTTTAGTTTAGAGATAATTGATGGTTTTAAGCCACTAGACAGTGCCATTTTGACCCATTCGTGGCTCAATTTTCGGCATCTACTTTTGAACTCCCTCTCAGATGATGGGCGAAACATATTTCGAACAGCGACCAACGTGTGCACGGGAAGAGAGCAGAGAGAGGAGTCCCGGAACTTGGCGCGGCAAATAGCCATTTCCAATGCCTACGAAACTGTAGGTCGAGATAGGTGTAGGGAAAATCAGAGGCCCCCAAACGACAACTCTAGCGATAAAAAGGTCCCGTTTATCCTACCATTCATCCTAAATAATGTAGGTGCAGCTATAAAACCTAAGAAGGGCAGGTCTAGGGAATTCGGTAAACGTAGCTGAAATGCCACCGAGTACTCTTACGCGCCAGCTACTTCGCAACAGCCTATATGACCGTCTATGTGCAACGCGAAATTGCATAATTTGCCCTAATGGTAAGGACAGTGATTGCACGAGTTCGGGTATAGTTTATCTGGTCTCCTGTAAGGCGTACGGATACGAATACATTGGCGAAACGGGTACATCACTCTGAATGCGTATAAATGAACACCTAGTCGGTAAACGTAAACCAAATACTCCATTAGGCACGCAGAAGACGCAGAGACATAACGGAGATTTTGAAGTAGGGGTTACGATCCTCTCGCAAGAATCGAGAACACTGCAAAACTGCGAACTGCAAAGAGGAATTCTGGATTAATTCCAAGAATCCGAAAATGAACCGCAAGGAGGAATGTCTCATTAGCACGCGTGATATTGGACAGTATATAAACCTGTTATTCTGACTGGAGGGGCACATTACGGTTCCATGTGAATTCTGTGCGGTTGGTCTTCAAGCGACATACTCAGCGAAAGACTCGTAGAAAGCGGTGAGTGTGCAAATAAGCCATTCTGTGTTCAATGTGATTGAAATCTTGGTTTAGCGTTTTCTGTTTGGTTATGGAGGTGCTTGGCCGAATAGATTGCTGACCTTGACCTTTCCAGACTCTGAGGAGGGCGAAATCCGCCGAAACGCCAACTTGTACGTAAATAAAGAATAAAATAACACGTGTTTGCTGAACAGAAAGAATAAGAGAAGCGTCCATATGATGTGAGAATAAGGTAAATCTTCGAATTTAGCCTGGTTTCCTTGAAACAAGCCACAGAACCTCATTTGTCGTCCTGTCTTAAAGCTATCACGTAAGATTAATCTTTCATAACATGGACAAGAACTCAATTATTAAATAAGGACATGGGGAACGACTAGACAGTAGTAATGGAGACAGCAAATCCTCATGCTTAATTGGAAGAACAGAGAGATGACCGTAATCCCGTTTGCATGAAAGAAGAGGATGTAGAAATCGTCTTTCATGAAACGCACACAACAGATCACAACTAAACCGCAGTTACTTCAAGACATGGGCGACTTCAAAGATTTTAATCAACAAATAAATCTGAATGAAAAAATCTGAGGGTTGCTCAGACCTCCAAAAAATTTGAAAGGCGCAGCTTTCTGGATTAATGAACAAGTGATCGAGCACAGACATAGAGCAGAGAGCGACTGGATTCTGGTAAATAAAGAACGAAC